TGCATCTAGGTCTTCCTAATGGTCTCTTTCCTTCAGGTTTACCTAGCACCACTCTGTATGCGCTACATAACCTCTCATCTCATCCATCTTGATTCCAACATTCTAATAGCATTTGATGAGAAGTACAAATTATGCAGCTCCTCATTATGAAACGTTCTCCATCTTCCTATTATTTCACTCATCGTCAATACAAATAACCTCCTCGGCATCTTGTTCTCAAATGCCTTCAGTCTATGTTCTTCTCGTAATGTGAGATACCAAACTTCACACCCATACCACATAAAACTACAAGCAAAACTGTAGTTTTGTATATTTTAATCTTTACCTTTTTAAGTTGCAGGTGAAAAGACTGAAGATTCTGAACTGAATGGCAGAAAGCATTCCTTGAATTTAATCTGCTCATAATTTCTTCATGAATGTCATTTCAATTTGGTAGAATTTGAATCTTGCAATATTTTCAAAGGATCTGTTAGCTAACTTCATGACTTCTATGATTTTGTCCTACATTCTAGCAATGAGATATCAACATATACTTAGTTTCCTGTGTTTACTTCTTAATTAACCTCGTTACTAACATCTATTAAGAGTTTCTGTGTTTTTCTTTATGGTATTCATGTTACCCTTCAGCAAATTATCATCATCAGCATAGAACATAAGCTGCAGTATCAAATTCTATTTCTTTCCTACCAATTCTTTTGCTGGGAGGGGGGAGGGATATTCTAACACAAAGTTGAAAAGCAATGGTGACAAGGCATCTCCTTGCTGCTGCGGATAACGACAACAACAAAAGAGGCTGGTCTAGGGGTAACACTCTAGATTTCTATTTGAGAGGTGTTTGCTTCAAATCTCAGTCATGTATACCAGCTATCCCAACTGAGGTGTTTTATGATTTTCCACAGCCATCCCAGGCACATGCCAGAATAGTATCTCAATTAAGCCATAAATGAGTCCTTCCAAGTCCTTTCAAATTTATCTATCATCCTACCATCTGATACTATACAGTTTCAATATGAAAAAGCATCATTAATAGCCCTCAAAAACATTGTCACTGTCATCGCTGCTGCCACTGTCATCCTCGTTGTCGTCGTCCTCCTCCTCATCAACAATAAAAACACCAAATTGTAACACACATGGTAGTGGTTACTTCCTTCCTTCCTTCCTTCCAACTTTCATCACAGTACAGGCAGCACTATGTCATGTGCATTACTTCTCTAGACTTCCCTGTTCCTCAATACAAGTTTTCCCAAGCAACCAGTTCCATTTTTAAAACAAGTTCCTTTAGCTTTGGGTGCTTGTACATAAATATCACAACATTTGGCAACTGCGCAATGAAAATGGGCTTTCCAAACTCTTCATTCTGAAAGACATCAAATTTATCTTTCAAACCCATATACCCTGAGTTTTCCCTGTGCAGTTGCCAAATGTTGCAAGATTCTGTTACATGCTGCTAAATATCTATTCCCAGCAAATACCATGTAGGGTGGTGCATATTCTCAATAAATCTGGTTCCTGATGTATCCCACATTCAGTTTATTGTTGTATGTCGTAGTCTTTTGCATTTTCTTGCATTTTGAATGGGGGTTCTCCCTCTTTACTCCATTTGCAGAGGAATTTGTGATTGCAGCAATGATCTCCATGGTGATGGGTTTTCCTTGAAAGGGTGGTGGTTACTGAGCTTACCAAGAAAATTTCTAGTCATATATAATGTGTGTGTTCATTACAATATTTACAAATGCCCACCACTGGTGCTAACTTCAGTCACATTAAAGGCATATGATAGTGCTCCTGCATCAAATGGAGTAATATTCCTTTAGCCATTATCCACTGCCTCAGTACTATGCACATAAGAACGTGACTGAATTACGGAGTTTCAATTTTCAGCATGCACAATATTTTGCTCTTTGCTGGCCATGCCAAAGCTCATTAAGTCAGTTGCCAAGTTTCCATCACAGCAGCCCAAGTTTAATCCCAGGTCAGGTCATGGGATCTCTGGTGGACAAAGTAACATTGGCATGGGTTTTATCCAAATACTTCAGTTTCCCCTACCAGTTTATATTCCACCAGCAGCTCCATATTCATTAATCATCCTACAATATGAAGCTATATAGTCTTGATACTGACAGCATCATTAAATAACCAATTTCTTTGTGCCACCACAGCCACTCCAATGGGTAAAGGGGTTATTTCCCTGAAATAAACTGTTTAGATGGTAAATATGGCAACTCACTTTCACCTAGTAAAAAGGTTAACTTTTCAGTCTCATGACTGGGGTAATAGGCAAAGCAATATCACAATCCTCATTTCATTTTTTCCATGCTAAGTGCTGTTTAGCATAACTGAATTCTGTTGTCACTCATCTACCATAAATTAGGTAGTTCTTCTGATAAAACAATACCAATTATTTGATTTAAAAAAGAGCTAAAGAAGTAACTTTTTGCTGACAGTGTTAAAAATAAAGCTATTAAGTTATTCAGAGCACAAGTGCTCCTGGGAGGTATTACATACATAGTATGGCATAAGTTAAATTCCATGATGAAATTAATTACATAGAATATTAATTCAAACCATCAAATGTGACTTATGTTACATTAACTTATATTTACAACTTCTGCCAAATACTTCAACATTGATCCATGTTAACAAACAGGGTTGTCCTTAAAAACCAATGGTCACTGACCTGGTTAAAGAATTCTCTGCTTGTATGGAACCTAAATATTCTCCAATGCATTCACAAAAACCTGTCACATGACCCTATGCCAAACCAGTTATATTCATTCCTCACTTTCCTGGCCTATTTCTTTAAAATCCAATTTAATATAATCTTCATATCTACATCATGGACCTTCAAGTGGTTTCCTCCTCTTAAGCATTCCTGCTAAACTTCTGCTAAAAGTCTTGCAAGCATTATTCATTTCTCCCAAATATATTACATATTATGTTATATACAATCTTATCCATCTCAAAAATTTGAAAAAGCAATATCATGTGCTCTATGAATAAATCACAACATTTTCTCGGCTTTCCTAAATATTTTGATATGTGAAGATCTAACTCCTGCAAATAATCTGCTACATTCAGAAACAAGTTCAGTTTGTCCTAACAACAGCTTCATGATCAAGATATCTTTTAACTCAGCTATGCTATTTTCAGGAAGAAAAATAATGTTTCTGAAAAACATTAAAAAGGAAAGGCATCAGTTATGAAGGGGGATGTCATATGTAATAGGTTTCAGTATAAAAGACTGGCATGCAGCCACTAGCATTTATTTTAGACGTCATTTCACAGAGTGCTAGTGTTAGTGCTAGTGTGCTAGTGTAAGGAAGCAGTCAGTCTTCACCACATGAACCAAGCTTCCAGCTTGGCCTTTATGACAACCACAAGAAAATGTCTGTTTTAAAACTGTCATACAAGTCAACCTGTATGTCAAAAATGTCACTTTAGTTTTATATAATATCAAAATGACAATTTTATGAACTGTTGCAGAGCACAGATTTGTGCTCACATCTATTTTATGGTATAATTCTTGTCTTTGTCTTTAATAACTGGAAAATGCATAACAATTTACCAAATTAGCTCTAGTAATTAGAATACATATTACCCCAGACTACAACCATTATATATGACGACTGTGAATGATCAAATGTGACTATATAGAAATGGCCATGCCTTATTTAAAAGTATTATCCCTGCATTTGTTTCCAGGGACTGAGAAAATCTACAACAGAGCTCAGTCCAGACAAGAGTCTCAGGGTCAAGAATCAAACTTAGAACCTTCTGAATGTAAAGAACAAGTGCTTATTACTCAACTAGGACATCTGATTATGAAGACCGTGTGATGGTGATAGCTAGGACATGTTTGGATAGAAGTACCGCTAATGGACTACTGGCATCTTCTTGGGAAAATTACAGAAAATTCAAGAAAAATTATAAAAGCAGTTCACAAGGCAAAACATGTGGCTGTATAACAACGTACAAAAGGATCATCGGTTTGGCTGATCAAATCTCCTCAAATGACGTTACAAGTTAAAAATGATACATAACTTAGTTTTATTTATTTTAATTTCCATCCTTCTAATTTCTTTTGCAGCTGTGAATATGAATCATGTCTAAAAACATTTTACTGCTTATTAATTACAGCACAAATTTTCAAGTCTGGCCTTGGGGTTTGTCACTCTATTGCTGCCGGTCATTACTAGCAGGGTTGTGCTTGGTTCCAAGTACCATGGGACTCATAACCTTGTTTTACTGCCTCATGACTTACCAAGCTGTTGTCTAGCAATGGAGGTTTCTGCAGTGCAGAGTCTGACTACACTATTCCAACTTTCAGGCTTCATGCCACAATAGCATTACAGTCTTGATTACATGTCTATGGATTTATGTAATTACCAACCTATTCTCATGCATTGGGCTTTGATCTAATAAAATGTAACACTTAAACTTCATACAATTCCATGAGGTAATGCATGCACTATCACATAAAATGTGTTCAATCAAACTCAAAGTGTTTATGTTTACATATCTAGTGCTTTCTTACCCAAGTAACAACACCCCTTTAAAAATGTCAGTACTTAAAAAGAACTTGGTAAGTTTAAGGTACTATTACATGTCCAAGACTACACATTTTACTTTAGTCAGATTCCTCATGAGTGAATTATAATTCACATCTGCAAGTCAGAATTTACTGATTTTGCTTTAGTCAAGTTCACTAAGACCAGTCAGAAGTTCCTATAATTCACTTCAACCCTGAAGATGGAGACAGCATGTTCCTCCAAAAAGTCTGTATTCACCCACAAAACTATACTGTAAGAACCCATAATTTTAAAGTTTTTACAAAATTAAAATGACATGCACTATTGTTAACATCCATACATTATAAAATTCACCTTCCCCAGTGATAAATATCCTAAGCAAGTCATTTTTTCTTTAGCTGTCAACACAATTCAGCAGAGAGAACTGCTGAGGAGAACATGCAAGTGCTTGAAAGTTCATGGAAAACTTACCTGCCTGATGTGGAACGAATACGGCAGGTGACAGCTCCATAGCCAGCATTCTGAGCATTCACAGTGATGCAGTATTCTTCCCCACTTGTCAAAGCATGCTGAATACCTTCTGTGATACGACATTTCTCTGCCTGCAATGTAAATAATTCTGATATATGCTCCAAAATCTTTGATGCCCAATTACACCACTTTAAAATTAAAATCAGATAACAAAATGAAGCATCTTCACAACTAACATTCCAGCAAGGTTCGAGTTCTCATAGAAGTGAACAGTCACACCCTAGTTTTCTAGGTTGACACCATGCCATAGCTCAGGGGACCAAAATACTGTGACATAATAAGTGGAAGCTGGAATAGTGGAACCAAGAGGAAAGGCTGTTACTGGGTAATGGCCAGTAAACATGCTCCCATATTATCAAACAAGCAGGCCATTGCTAGGCAATGGGATGTTTTCTATGTAGTTCATACTGAGGCTAGCAAGAGCTGTTGGGAAAAATTATGTTTTGAGTCAGCAGCTGGTGAGTGCAGTTCATGAACTGTAAGAACCTCCCTCCATATTAGCAGCTGTAATTCAGCACTGCCTATCGAGCACCACTGTTGAGCAATGACCAATGAAGACAATAACAGACTAAGAGAGAGCATGCTATAGTATTTGTTAAGTGTGTAGATCAGTGGTAGTTATGAGTAAAAATGTAAAGCTATCCCTGTGACAAGTCATGGAGGCCCATAGGGTTGTGAAATGTCGAAGCACCTGCATTTTCTAGATAATCACCTCACAAATGGCAGTGAGGCTAACAGCCGTATGTGCCAGCCACCCTTCACCCCAAGGAAGATTCCTGGTACTCACTGCTGTTAGATCACAGTGCCATAGTGTGACTGGAAGGATTAGGTCAATTGAAAAATCCAATTACCTCATTGGGAACTGAACCCATGACCTTCTGGCTTGTAGCATAGTGCCTCAACCAACTACACTGTTGTGTGCCCCAGTTACAAGCTGTAAGTGTCCAGTAAATCCAACTGTCAATCCAGTCCCTGTGTCTAGTCATTAACACATGACAATATGGTTACATCACAATCTCAACTTTTCCATATTTACAATGCAGTAACAAGTTAAAAGTCATTAAGACTAGAGTAAAATGTCAGCATAATAAGTAGTGCTCTTATTAAAAAATTATTAACCAACATCTAACAGCAGAACCTCAATATTCAACAACAAGGATCAAGTTCCATTCACCTATCATTATCATAATATACTGTCATGGGCATATGTGACTACAGATGGGGTTTGGATTGGTGACTCAATGTATTGACCACTTATACACACGACTTGTAGAAACTGTCTCTGCTCTATACCTATAGAATTATTTTGTAACTGAGCATCTTGATGTAAAGGCAAGGCACACCACTGTCCCTGTGCCTAAACATCATGCCACAAAGCACGGGAATATGAAGGTAAAGCTACATGCCCAAATAAATTCAGTTGTCACTGTAAAATGGAGACAAATGAATATTCCACTTGATTCACATTTGTATTGTTTTAAAAAGCCCCCTGTAGAAGAGAAAATATTATTTTGAACATATTTTTAAATGGTATTGGTATATTATCTGTAAAACAATTCACATTTTTTACATCACACAATATTTCATTGGAGGAGGTATATTAAGAAGCAATCATAAAATAAAAAAAATCACTATTCTTCACTGAACTGAAGGCTTCTTTATAGGTTATAAAAAGGAATTGTAAAAACATAACTTACACTGCCGGTTGCAAAAGCTTGAACTTGGAATGGAGCATGTGGCACTTCTTTTCCACCATATTTGACACTAACTTTGTATCGCCCACAATCATCAGGAATGTAGGTTGCTTTAAATATGCCATCCCCATTGTCTGCCACCTTCACTTTCCGGGGATAACCATCAGGACCCTGAAAAAACATTAAAATTATGTGGTTATATTATACACAAAATATGTGTGCACTCTTGCTTAATAATGAAATCTTATACAAAACAAATGGCAAAATATTGCCAATTCCAAAAATTAAACTCCTTTAATAACCATTTGAACTTTCCTTAGCAAACAAATGTTTTTCCTGCCACTGTGATTTTTTTTAGGGGAGGGGGGGTTTGCAGTTAACCCCTTGTATAATAATAAAGAACCTGATTCCTGGCCACAACAGAAGGCCCAAGAGCTACCCCAAGGCTTACTGCTTTATGTTTTCCAGGTAACCTTGCTGTTTGGCCATATAATTACTCTTCCAAAGCCACATATTTTGACTATAAAGACATACTGAAGAGATTCATTCTAATTATAAGCACTGCACTAGAATTCAATCTGTCAATGAAAATGGGTTTCATAATTTCTCAATAAAATAAAAAGACATATGTGTCACACATATGATAAAATACTGGAAATGATTTTACCATGTGCATCATTTACATTTTCTACGCATATAACCCAAAAATTTGCATAAGGACTGGATAGTTTTCTTACTTTTCAAATGACAAATACTGTTTCTTTTATAACCACATAAATTAAGTAAAAATAAACTACTGAAGAGAGACTATTTTAAAATTTTGAAAAATAATATATATTAAAAATAAATCACATGATTGAATTAAATACATTAAAAACAATTTAGTTGATGAATGATTAAATATGTTAAAACTATGCACTAAACATATTCTAATCCAGCAGTTTCCACAGCCACAGCCACAGACCCCTTGGTTCCATTAAACTCATCCCCAGTACCCCCTACCCTACCCTATAAAATGCATTCTTCTGAGGAGCAGATAGCACAATCTACTAAGAAGCAAAATAACAATAAAATAAGATACCACACTAGTAACTACTTCACTCTTAGTACATTCTTAATGAGATGGATGGGCATGATCAAATGATACCAGTAGCCCAATGTCTGGTCTAAAGGAACTTCAATCATTAATAAGCATACAATGCATTCAGAAGGACACACATTCAGTGCCCCCTTGCTAGCCCTTTGCCTTTTTGTGCCCCCTTACATAATCCCACCACCCTCCAGCAGGCAGTACAGCCAACTTTGGAAACCACTGTTCTAATCAATAACTTACCTTCACTTGAACCTCAAGGTCCCCATAGCCTGCCTGACTTGTGTCAATGGTAAATTCTGCTGGTAAGGATGCAGGAATGCCCTTGCCTGACACACCAGGGCCCTCAACTTTAACCTGATCTGGTTCCACTCGTGGACGAACTTTTAATTGGTATGGGCTGCAAGAAGAAATTCTTATAGAAATCATATGACTGGTGATTATGTTACATCATCAAATGAAAATTGACATTTTTTCTAAAACCACTAACTGCAACCTTTTCAGGCCTGAAAGAATTAAAACCTTTGAAATTGGTTTTTCTAAATGTTAATTTTCTTGATTAGTATCAGTTTCATGTGTTGAAACGTATTAATCCTTATGGCTTTCATAACAAAAATCTTAAAAGAATTAAGCTGGAATACAAGGTGCATATATCTATCCTAAAAATATCCTGCCAAACACATAATTTTCATGACAAATGTGATTAAGTTAAATGCGTTAAGGCAACATGGAATCGAGGACTTTAATCATGTAGGCTTTTTTACTTCCAGCAGAATACACAGAGTTACATCCCAAGTGATAGAACTTTTCAACTCTGATCATGTTTTCCGTGAAAATTATGTATCAAAATATTATGAGGGGTACCTTCATCTCAATAATAGTCAATAAATCATGTGATGCAGTCCACAGGCATTAATATCCATACTGTTTTCCCACATTATATTCAATTTTATAATGTTGTATTTTAGAGTCCTGTTGCACTGATTTTCATCCATGATACGTATGTAATGGCCATCTTGTAGTGCACATATGAAATTGAGTGCACTACAAGACGGCGATTACATACGTATCATGGATGATATTCAATTTCAGTCACATTTTCTGCACCAATTATTCATGTAGAAATTTTACTGCAAGGCATTTTTGATCAGTGTCTATCAATGTATGGTGTGATAGAACATGCAGGCTGGATTATCCATTTCATGCTGCAATGCCACATTCTATTTTAATCACATTTTCCATGAAAATTAGAATTATTCAATATTCTGTCAAAGGAAATTTTTGTCCCACTGATCATCAAGAGATTTCATAGTAGAGCTGATACATGCAAATACCCAAATCACATTCAACCCTAAAACTTTCACTTTTCTGTAAGAATTATGCATTGGTCAAATATTTATCAAGGGACATGTTCATCTCAGTGTTCCTTGAGGAACTACATGGTGGAGTACGCAAGCCTGAATATCCATACCATGTCACCACACCACACCAAACTCTAACAGTATCTTCTATGAAAGCTATACATTGGTTAGAATTTCAATAAGATGACTTATCATCTCAATGTTCAACAATGAATCATATGGTGGAGCCTGTATGAGGTATTATCCATACCATGCTGCCATAAAGCATTCAGATTTAGAACTTTAAATGTTTTCTGCAAAAATTATATGTAGGTTAACACTTTATCAAGTGACTTTTTTTCCCTTAATGTTTATCAAGTAACTGAACAGTGGAGTCTGTAAGTGCAGACATCCACACTGGCCTACTACAGTTTCATTTTCCACAAAAATTATGCATTTGTTGATAATTTTCCAAGACATTTTCATCTGAATATGTATCAGAGTATCATGTGGTGTTCAATGGCACAAATACTGACAACATAATGGAACATCAGATTTCACTTTAAAATTTTAATCACATTTTTCACAAAAATTATGCATCCACAAAACTTTCATCAACTGATATTTTCCATCTTAATGTTCATCAAAAAATTGTGCAGTGGGGTACATATACATGAATATATATACCGTGTTGCCATATTACATTCAACTGTTATCACCTCAATCCAGTACACTGAATAACACTACATAATTGAACATTCAGAATAACACTATGAAAAACAGTATTCACTTACTTCTAGTCATGATTTTTGGAGTAAAAGGGTGTGTAAATTACATCAGTATACATGCTACTTTTCACAGCATCCTATGGTGTTCAACTTAAATCCATACCTGTTTGGGATATCCTTCCCATCCCAAGTTATTTTAGCTTTGACATTACTGCCTTCTGAAGGTGGCACATAGGTGACATCATAAGTTCCATCACCATTATCTCGGACTTCTGGTGCCAATGTCCCTGAAAGCAGAACATGTTTCACCTTTCTTAAAACGTCATTCCATTTTAAAAACACACCATTATTTCTGCTGCACCCTGTATATGAGTAAGAACAGCCAAATTAAACCATCATGTATCACTCATAGGTATGTAACAACACTACTAGCACCATTCTTCATATAATATGTCATAATGACCATGCTGAAAGCTGATTCGGTGAAAGGCCTCATCTCCTGGAACACATCCTAAGCATTCAACGAGTATTACTATATTTCACTGCTAGCGTTTCCTATAGAGCTGTGGGCATGAAATTATGTCATAGCGTCAATCTGTGCTCTGACAAGCAAAAAATGGGAAGCCAACATGTAACAAGTTTCCATTTGGAATTAAGCAACCGTTGTGCAAATGATAACCAAGTACTAATTTAAAATAGCATAAATGATTATTATTTATATGAAATGCACATGAAAAGGTACATCACATATGAGTTTGATTATGAACTACAAATTATCAGGCATATCAAATGGCATTTATAGAAATAATCACATACCTCTGTCTGATTGGATATTAACGCCCAATGGAGCCTTGCCAGACTTGGTTGCATCAACTTTGAATGCTAGAGGTGTGCCAGCACGGCATTTCTTGGGATCCAAACCTGGCCCATACGCTCTGACTGAAGATGCATCCACAGTATTATCCACAGGCACCTGAAACATAATTAGCAATTACAAGTTTCAAGCAGATTATTTTACTGAAACAACATGACACTGATAACAATAATGACAGCAGCAACAGCAATGACAATGGCGGCAACAACAATAATGAAAACGATAACATCAACAACTGAAGTTGTAGCGGTAATGGTAGTGTTGGCAGTTATGATAATAAAATACTAATAATAATTCCGTTCATCTATATAAGTGACTGCCAACAACTTCCCTCATAACAAACTAGTATTAAAAAAGTGACTCAAAAGAGAGGCAAAATCTCTAAGCAACTTTTAATGATAAAACTGGAGATATCATCTAGACCAGGGGTCTCCAAACTATTTGAGCCGCGGGCCACATTAGGTAATTCAGCACTTTCAATGGGCCGGACAAAATGAGAAATTAATAACTCTAGGTATATGAGTTTTACTGAAAGCACAGAATTTCATAAACTAAATACATAGTACATGAGAATAAATTATCGTATATTAATGACAACAGACACTAGCAGCAAATGCTCATATTTTCATCACAAATTATAATAAAACAATTAATGTGAATGATGGAACTCTTTTTGCATTCTTAAAATCTGTTTAAATTGAGGTTCAAATTTTGAAACGCTAATCACAAGTAGCAACTTTAAATATTCATTCAATAAATTTGCCCTGTATTTCGACTTGATGTACTTCATCTGGGAAAAAGTTTGTTCACACAGATATGTCGTCCCAACAATGGAGATAAATTTACAAGCAAATTTCTTTAAATTTGGAAATTGCTCAGAGTTCAGAAATTTGTAAAATTTGATCAAATTTCCTTCCTTGTATTTGTCTTTAATAAGATAATTTTCCTGAAATTCAATAATTTCCCTTTGAATTTGACTTGGGACATCTGCAGCATCACAGTGAAACGGATTTTGGAACAATCTAATTTCCTGAGCACTGGAATCCAATTCAGCAAATTGCTTCCGAAATTGTTCTTTCAAATCTGAAATGACTAAATTTGCAAATGAGGAAGGAAATTCTGCTTCACCCTTTTTATGCAACTCTGCACAGTATAGCATATGAACAAAGTTACAATTTTTCACTTGGCTTTCCAGAAGTATCAACTTTGTTCTGAATGCCTTGATAAGTGCAAATAAATCATAGATTAAGTTATTTTCACCCTGCAACTTTAAATTCAAATTGTTCATATGGTTCACCAGATCAGCAAAAAATGCTGATTTCCAAAGCCATTCGGTATCTGATAAAAGTGGTTCATGACGGTTTTTCTCCGTAAGAAATATGTCAATTTCATTCCCGAGCTGAAAGAAGCGCGGAAGAACCTTTCCACAGCTAAGCCATCGAACTGCAGTATAATATGTCAGGTCAATAAGCTCGGAATCACATTTACCAGTACTCACTGGAAAATTAGTTCAATTGGCGCATTTCTGCATAATTCTTTCGTGGGCCGGGTAAAATCACATCGCAGGCCGGATGTGGCCCACGGGCCGTAGTTTTAAGGCCCTTGATCTAGACCCATACATGGGTAGAAATGTAGAACTGCCTCTTTAACGTCAAAGTCACAAATTGAAGGAATGTAAGATCTGAGGCTTTCACGGCGGTGACTATGAACAAAGCAGTCTTCTGGGATTTGGCACCGTGTATATGTGGTGTTAACCGACGTTTCGGAGGAACGTATCGCCTCCATCTTCAGGGTAGAAGGAAAAATATAAGAAATTCGCAAGCGAAGAGACCGTGAAAACCGGTAAAAGCAGTCTGCTTTTACCGGTCAGTCACTTTTAAAAAAGTGCCAATTTTAGAAATCAAACTGATGCGTGTAGGTTAACAAAGATTTTATACATACATACAACTGGAAAGACTGGTGATTTTAAATTTTAAACTACGGGCAGTGTAGCAGCTACGTAAGAATACACCCCTGATGATGGCCATTTAGGGGCGAAACGTGTAGTGTGGAGGAAGGGAAGAAGAAAGAACTACAATTAAATTGTTGCACTTAAGACAGAGTTTGTCTCATATATATTGTCATCTACAGATTTTAACCAGTAAAGCCTGTTTTGACAGTGGTTTCAACCAGTTTGTGATAATAAGAAAAAAATGCTATAACAGTAATCAGATTTTGATTTCTTGTATCTTCTGAAGTGTTGATTTTTCTTCTTAATAGAATATTTTAAAGAACTAGACAATCAATGCAGGAATGTAGAATTTTTAGATTTTATATAAGAAATGGCTAAATTTATACACTATGGCAGTGATATTATTCACTGAAGAATCGATAGAACTTTGATTTAGAACACAAAACCCATCAGAATGATGTAAGACATTACGGAGCAACTAATGCGATGAGGAGTCAGGGAGATACGATCACAGTCAAGAGTAAAATTGAAATGAGGAAGTGGTGGATGACACTTATCAGGAGTGACCACAAGAGAGCTTGAAACAGAAGTGCTTAAATCACTAATACTTAAGAATACTATGCACTATTTATGATATGAGTTATTAAGTTGATCAAGACCAAGAAAGCAGGTGGTCATGTGAACTGAATTTCCTTCAATTTTATTGTAGTAATAAGGATTTGGACTCATACTGATCTGCATTTAAATTCTGTCTCATAAAAGTTAAATAACTTTCAATAAGTGTGACATTAAAATCAGGAAGAAAGTAATGATTTCCTATTAGTGGGTCTAAATTGCCAGTGACAGATATTTCAATTGGCACATAATCTTTAGTAGTTTCAAGGTCATATCTCTGCATAACACCTTGTAATAAATCTGAAACTGCAATTAGTACTCCATGAGTCATGTGGGAATTTAAGCGAGACATTGTCATTTTTAAGAATGGCGACATTCTCGCTTAGTTTATGAACAATGTCCAATAAAGATTTTCTGAAGTTGGTTGTGCAGACCCCATTGAGACATACTGTCTCCAGCTGAATATTAAGTGTCTCATATCTGTTGCTATCAAAAACTTGAGGCAAAACTAATAGCCTCTCAGGTGAAACGATTTCCTTGGGAAAATCTGAGGTCAACAAGGAATGGGGTTTCACTGGTGTGTCATCATTCCTTTGGGATTGCAAGGTTTTAATGCAGGCAGCACATTTGTAAGTGGAGAGCCTAATATCTGTATAGTAGGCATATTCTGTCTCAATCAACTGGAGACAACTCAGATGAAAGTGGGAGGAACAAGGCCCACAGCAGCTAAGAAATTTGTTTTCCACAAAACACCTTTGTACACAACAAGCAAGCACCCTTAACTTCGGTGACTGAACGAGAACCATTGTTTTCAACATGGTATGGCCGTTGATAGCAAACACCCTTGCTTGCAGTCATTGTAGGCGCCAAACTCACTACTCACAACACTAGGCTAAAGCCGTGTCAGCAGAGCACAAGTTGAACACAGAACAAACATGTCTGGACACCTGAGACCTAAGGCTATTATAACAACAACAACAACAACAACAACAAAGCTAGCAAATGGATAAGCCCATTGCTGTAATGTTACAAATGAATAAAAATCTTTCCTTGCAAATACTGCAGACACCAACCCTGGATGTAAGCCAGTAAGAAACTCTTGTTTCTTTCTGGTATAATAAAGAAACTTCATTTCAATGCAATTTGAACTACCTGCTGACAAACATAGTGCCTAGTACTCTTGCTCCAATACCATATTTCCTACCCAAAACAGCAGCAAAATAGTTAGCACTCATCAGCATCATCAGCTGGTCCCAGATTCAGATCTCAACAGACATACAATTATGCTGATGTGTTCCTGATTTTCCCACCACTCTAGGAAAATACCAATGTAATGTTTCAAAATATGCCATGACATTTATTTCCACGTTCTTTCAAATTCATCATTCACAATCTCCTCTCCACTCAATATGTAGCAAATGCAGTTACTATGACAAAATGAAAATTACCAAAATTTGTATTGTAAATATGAAAATGTACCTAGCCCTGTTAATGCTTAACAAATACCACACATCAAACAAAAATATTAACTGTTTCTCTCTTCTCACATTTTACTTAAAAACACTTTGACAATTCACACACAAGTAGTTAGGGTCAACGGCTCTATAATTAGATATTCACCTTGAATGGAGAACCAGGGATGTGCTGATCAGCAAACTTTATGCTGACATCATAATCTCCTGGTTCTGTGGGAATATATTCCACTGAGCAAGAACCATCACGATTGTCTTTACATGTCATTTTAGCCTCAGAAGGACCCTCGATAGCCAATCCCAAACCTCCAGTGCCTGCACCTGTTACAAACATATAATCAATAAAAAAAATTATCATCAAAGTATGGCAATTTTTATTCCTGTTATATCTGCAATTCTCTAGCTCAGATCTTCCTCATGAGTAACCATTCTGATCACGGTTTTTATGTTCTCTCTCAATCCCTCTAGACATATGCCACTAAAAGACATCAAATCCATCTCTTCCCAACATCATCTTAACTCATAATTTACAACCTTTCATGAAATTCTTTATCAGAACTATAAAAACCTCTATACTTTAAAAAACAATATTAAATGAATGAATGAATTAATTAATTAATTAAATAATAGTAAGTGTGAATGAATTTTCACATATATAGTACATCAGGAAAAGTAGGTCAAGTGCTGCGAGTTAAATAAAATTTATCTTCACTCTCATCTGTTAATATATGTAATATTATAAATGAGTATCTTCTTGCATCTTTAACATAACTTAAAACTGTTTTCATAGTGCACATCCTGTTGTGTATTCCAAACATATATAGTTGGGTTGTGGTGATAGTTAACTAACTATATATGTAACTTAAAACTATTCATAATTTCTATTTAATTTAAAATTGGGTACAAGGGACATATGCCCAACTAGTGAGAACACACATATGAAGGGGGCACAAACATGGACGCCGCAAAACAGAGAGACAGAATTTTATGCTCAAACAAACACATTTTAGTGTGAGCAATGATATGCAACAGCATGGAAATACATTGACTTACGATCTGGTGAAGTGACAGTTTAAAAAAGTGAACAACTGCCTGAAGAGGGCCAAGTAGGGCCTAAACATATAGCAACTGATGCAATTTTAATGTAATTTTAAACTAAAGAGAGACTGAAAAGTTTTAATTTGCATTAAAGATGGAGGGAATGAGTAAGTGTTAATATTTATATCAGCTTGTTCATTCAGAGGTTGATAAAAATGTATTCTTTCACTGCAACTCACCTTTTGTTTCTACAGTAAATATATTTGCTTGATTCACCAAACCATGCTCCAAACCAGGTCCAAATGCCCTGCATTTGCTGGGATCACAGCCCCGGCGTACATTTACCACAAATGGAGAGCCAGGAATTGGAAGGCCATCATACAAGATATCAATTGTGTGACGGCCTAATCAAAAAAAAAATAATTTCTACTGGTAACATTAAGAACATGAAATTAAAAGGTGAAATACAAGACAAGTATGCCATTTCTCAGAATAAGATGAACGTCTATATTTTTTTAAAAACAAGATTATTTTTAAGAAATGTGTACATTTATCAATATGATGGACAAACCAATAACAACTACATTCCTTCAATGTTTGTATAGCACAATTTACTCTGTGAAAAGCTGTACTTCATGTTAATGGTGGAGGAACTGAACTAGATCTGAGTGGCCTCCCTCATTATGCAGTCTTTGAGGCACTATGCTACAAGCTGGAAGGTTGTAGGATCGAACCCTGATGAGGTGGATTTTTTTCAATTTAACTAATCCTTCCAGCCGCACTATGGCCCTGGGGTCGACTCAGCCTCTACCAGAAATGAGTGCCAGGAATATTCCTGGGGGTAAAGGGCAGCCGGTGCATAAGACTGACAACCTCACCGCCATCTGTGAGCCGACTGTCTAGAAAATGTGGGAGCCTCAACATCTCACAACCTCATGGGCCTCCACGGCCTGTTACAGGGAAACCTTTACTTACTTACTTTATTTCTCAGGCAACAACTTCAACATAGAACATTCCCACCATTGTTCTCTACATAGTATAATGAATACTGTTTTCCAGGAATGAAATTTTGAACCATGAGAGATCTCCCTGTATAACAAACATGCTTACCTTCTTCAAATGGGGTGTAACTAATTCGGTATGTGCCATCAGCTAATGGTGTAATGAGATTCTCAGTCTTGGTTCCAGAAGGATTAGTGATGGTACATGTAACCTTCCCATCATCACGTTTGGCAATGGCACGTGAATCAACAACAAAATCCGTGGGGGAATCAACATACACACCTGTAACCAATACATAACAAAATAATCACACTACCAGTGAAAAAATCATGTCACAAACAATAAACACAAACAACAAAGTTTCATTCAGCACAACATAATATGCAGAAATACTGATATCAGTCTTTATGGACTGAATAAGAAAGCTGAAAATTTTCAGGTTTTGTATGGCATACAGCATAGAAAAGTCAATGGATGAACCCATTACCTACGATTTAAAATGTACTCCCAAGAAAGGAACATCAGAAACACACACCACATGGCCATGTCTCAAAAGAAATGGGTACTGATGTAAAAATGAAGAATCAGTGCAAAAAGTATCCCTACACTATTTTGGTGGAGGTGACAGGTGTTTTTTTTTGAGTGACACGTATTGAGTGACTAAAGATGAGTTTCAGACAGAGGATTGGATTTATTGGACTCTTTGATACAGCATGTGTGACTACACTTTACAATACACTATTACTCTCTCTCTCTCTCTCGCCCTCGCACGCACGCACACTTGTGTCCACAGCCACGTCTTCACTAGCCGCTGCTCGGTAGTGGCTTCGATGATCGACTTTCCCCTTCCTCTTGGTTCCCAAACTATCTCTGGCCTCAGCTACCAGTTTCTCTCAGTACCAACTCACAACAACTCAACCTCAGCAGTTCTCTAACTTAAGTCAACCACCAACCAACTAACTCAACTCAACTGACAAACCTGACTCCTTACTAACTGTCCTGCTTAGAACATCTCACCATGGGCAGCACATAAAACACCATTCCCCTGTTGCTGTTTACAGGCCATTACCTCATAACAGCAGTCATCTAGTTGTTTTATGGTCCTTGCCTAGCAATGGGTATACGTGAAACAAAATACTTACACATGACCCACAAATAACCCAGAGTTAAGTATTATAAAGTAGTATGCAGTTCACCAATGATGAAAATTTGAAATTCTCAGATACATGTAACAATATTTACAATTTGTTTTCATTATAAATAAAGTACAGATTTTCAAGTTTTGAATGATATTTACAGCCTTTCAAATGGTTTAATCTACAAATAGATACAGCACTCATGCATTAATATACTGAATATAAATGTGAACTATCACATTCCAATCAAAATTCTCAGTCCTCAATAGAACAGCCCATTTTCTACCTATTCATCATTTTAAAGATTTGAACTACACTTACAGTTCATGAATATCTGTATCTGTAGTTGCCTACACCCATGCTGAGACGCCAGTTCACAATTAAAATTTTGTCCCATCAATCAAAATTCTCAGTCCTCAACAGAACAGCCCATTTTCTATCTATTCATCATTTTAAAGATTTGAATTACACTTACAGTTCATGAATATCTGTATCTGTAGTTGCCTACACCCATGCTGAGAAGCCAGTTCACAATTAAAATCTTGTCCCATTGTTATAAAGGGTCGGCTTAACTACCTCACAAATTATACTCCAAACATTGGGTCTTCATATGTGTAAGACCTGGTAGTGTCCATGAAATAAATTTCTGCACAAAATATGTCTCTGCTGGACCATCTGATCAGACAACCCAGCTTGGAAATCTCTCCCAACTGGACCCCCATTATCACAGGAGAATAAAAAAAACTACAAATCCATCAAGTGTAGATTAAGTGGGAAAATTTGTGTTTCTTGTGTTGGTACCGTAAGGAGTATGTTCTCTCCAGTGATATTTCTATCATGATAGTTCTCTGGTGCAAGGCCTCATATATGCAGAGTTTTCAATAATTTAATGTTTTCTTAGCTCTTGCAGATAGTTTGTCCTGTGTGCGCCTTGTATACCCCATCTCGGTGCTGGCACAGGTGTCTGGAGATGGGCACTAGCGCTATCAACTGGGCCCAATTCAGTAGGTTCTACCTGACGATGGAGACAGAATCAAGTCTCCGAAACGCTGTTTTGAAAAATAAACATGACAGTGTTTTTAGATAAAGACAGGATGATGGATAATGTCCAGATACATAATATTTGTACTACTGAAACCTATTTCCCACCATCTGGGATGCATCTTGCACCTGCTAGTGTGTTCATTTTCCCATCCAGGCTTCAGATTAATGTACATACTGGAGTCACAGATTCAGAAGTACAGCAGTCATGAAAAGAAAACTTAGATACAATTCACTGAACTAAGATGGTACAATAGGCGAGAAGTGGCCACAGTACAAGGGACTTAGTCCCATCCCACTAGCATTTAAAAAAAAAAAAGAAAGAAAGAAAGAAAGAAAGAAAGAAAGAAAGAAAATGGAGCAAAATATTTTCCATTTCAATCCACTGTTCATGTTTCACAAATGACATAAGATATTGAACATTTGTTACCCCATAGTAATAATACAGTCTTACTTCATATTTCCCAAAATTCTGACTTCAGCATTCAGTACTACTAGTGCAGTTTGTTTTCATAAATACTTAAAACTTTGACCTTTCACATAGAAAACCTATCATTTATCAGAAAATGAAGTTCTGAAGAAACCTGATTTGTAATACACAAAGTACTAACAAGAACAATAACAGTAATATGCTTAAAATAGACTACATTCCTTTATGGTATATAGGGGCCACCTAAACAACAATGACTTGGCAATAAAATAAAACATAGCAGTGTCTCTCTCAGACAAACAAATAAATGTAATCTGTAATTTTCAGTCATCAGATGCATGGTAGTCCTTGTTTCTAGGGATATTAGACACTCAGAAACTACTACTATGTTAACATATAAAGTACTATTTTATATGAATTTGTAATTATTTCAGATTAAATATATGTAAGATGGTGTTAAATTTCCTTTAAAGTTTGAGGGTATGACTTTTTTAATGTGCTGTAAAAACCTTAACATGAATGTCACTGTTAGGAAAATTCCAACCACGAATGAGCTAAAATATTTTGAAATTTTGTAGAATTTCAGCCCTCGTCCCGTTAATATGGAATAGTGATTAAAATTACAAAATTCAATCCTCAGTTAAAAAAAAAAAAGAAGTAAAACCTTACATCCATCACTGAAGACTTTCTGATTATTCTGCAATACCCATAAATACATTTCATCTGACATTATATGGTATAATAATTCCCATTCAGTATTTCAATTTCTATTCTTATTACTGTAATGCATTGCAACTAACATTAATATGACTCATCAAGTAATGAACAGTTACGGAACCATTCTACAAAATTATTATCTGCATGCATAAGAAGTACTGTACAATCTCCACAAATACAAAGCAAAACTTTTTCAATTACACTCACAGCAATACACAGGCAAATGACGCATTCATTATGTACAAACTTCTATGCAAACCTGTAGTAAAGTTTGTAGGTGTCTGCAACATTCTTACTCTGTGCTATTCATTTAATGCAATAGAAACTGTGAAAATCTGCTATAGGAAGAAGTTATTTCTATTCTAGACAGATAAACCACAGTTGATACATGCCACAGTAACAAAATATTATACAGGGGTGGTCAACTGCTACAGCACTGGGGGCAACTACTTGTTGAATGTGAATGGGACATCCCACAAAATGATCATAAAATATGGAAAAGGAGAACAGTTTCAGGGTAAATACAAAATAAGTACAAGGAAAGGACAAAACACTTTCTAATATGGGTTGATTTACTTTACAGTACATGAAATATATTTGTTCACAGTATCTGTGAAGTGGATATAAATGCTTACAGTAAAATGAATGGAAACCATTCAGCCAGTGGCAGTAACATGGAAGCTGCAAAATTATCAATGCCATTTGTCACAACTACCCTAATTTCATTAAAACACTCAAATTCTACCACTGTACACTGTACATATACTGATCTGCTGACTGCTGAGTTAGGATGTGTTTATGTCCATTCCATACGCAATGTGAACAAAGCAGCTGCCTATCTGAAGTTTTAATGGTTTTCCTCAGTCCCTACATATAAATGCTGCAACAGTAAATTAAAACAGACCACAACTTCCTGATGAATTGTTACCTTGTCATTATTTTGGTCACTTTTTCATCTCATTCAATGCCACATAACCTGTATAGTTAAAATAGCATTATTAATAATCAGAGAATCAATGGAACTGCAAATTACATTTTGGTATAAGATTCATAAATGAATCACATGGCCCTATTCTATTAGATGCTACAGATAGTGACAGTGTTGAGTAAATTTCTTCATAGAATGAGTGGCAAGAAAAGTCCCATAAGCCAAAGCCATCAGTTGAATTCACTCCACTCCACTTCCCTTCATTCAAATATAATATTATATAATGGTAAGTAAATAGGCATAGTCCTCGAAACCAGTATTCCTGTTCTACTACCTCACCCCAGTCTTCGACCTCCCACTGCAATTCAGAAAAGAAACTGGCCCTTCAGTATAAAGAAGCTAGCCATTCCTAATCCATGGCAAGAAGCATGATCACAAGAACTGGGATCACACAAGTACGGTACCTAACTTCTCTAAGAGCATGATAGCCATTCCATTATTCATCCAAAAATGAAGGCCTTTCAAATGGTAAAACAGGAATCCTTCCATACATTTCCTTCAAAAATAAAAATTCATTATGGGCTTTAATGCTACTTTTCCATGCAATTAAATTAAAAATACAGAACAGAGTTATTCAGAGGTTTTCTCAAAATGATCGACTTGACACATAATCATAAAGAGGATGACAAAATTAACGACAAGATTTGGAAAAATGTTCCAGTAGGATACTGCTTGCAAGAAATTTTTCAGGTAATGAATCTGAACCCATCATACAGAAGGCCAGTTGCTTTATTATAAAAACAATTACATGGCCATGCAGACAACTCTTAACTGAGACAAAATGATCACATGGGAAAAGCTATCTTATGGAACTTAAGATGAAACATGAGTTGACTTCTGCTTTCAGCCAGAATTTTATAAGATCAAGGAAGAACGCTAGGTAAAAAAGTAAAAACTGTCACATTCTGAATAATCAGCTATTTCTCATGGTCACACACAAAGCTTTAAACGCCAAGGCAAATGGTAATTCTTAAAAATGCCAAACTGTTACACTCTGAATTATCATGCATCTGCTCCTCAGGATCGTAATTTCTGCCTTCAGTCAAGACTTTTTTTTATTGCTAGTGGGGTGGGACTAAGTCCCTTGTACTGTGGCCACTTCTGGCCTACTGTACCAGCCCCAGATGATAGGTGAGGCTGATTGTAGAGCAATTGGTGGAATGAAGATTGGCAGGGGAAACCGAAGTACTCAGAGAAAACCTGCCCCAGCACCACTTTGTCCACCACAAATCCCACTTGACCAGACCCGGGATTGAACCTGGGCCGCTGCAGTGGAAAGCCAGCAACTAACCGCTTGAGCTATGGCGCGGCCTTAGTTGCANTAATGTATCAGATCACAGGGCTAACCAAAAAAAAAAAAAGAGAGAGAGAGAGAGAGAGAGTAAAATTGTTACTCTGAACAATTTTTCAGCCACTCCTCAAGGTCACAACTTAAGCCTTCAGTTAAGACTTATGACACCAGGCTGGATTCAAAGCTGCGGTACTTCTTAATGCTTCTCCCTAATGCAAAAAAAAAAAAAAGAGTCTTTGTCATGCCAGAGCTAAGACCGTTCAAAATTTCTACATTAAATTATAAGTATATGGGATAAAAGCTGTCTAGTGTTGGTCTAAAAATATTTACATTAAATGTAATAGTGAAATACAAACACTTCATAATGCTCTGTTCATCCATCAGTCATCTTGTACTACACATGCCTAACCTAAGATACATAAAGGTGACTTTTTCACCATCACCCCAGAAACATGTGACACTGGCAAGGTATAAAAAAAAGTATACTTAATATTACAAAACAAGTATAAGTGGAGAAAAACGCAGTGCTGGTTCCTAAGACATACTAATATTTTGTTTTGGGAAAGGTATGTACAAAGACAACACTACAATACAGTATATGGGTTGTAGGCCAGGAATTGGCTATAACTGCTGCTAGAGTGACATATGCTGAGTTGAGTTCGGACAATTCACGAGTGTACAAATGCAACAGCACTGTTAGCATTCAGACCAAGCAGTGGGTGGTTAATTAAACACTCTCCATGCCACACAATGATCTTTACCATGAGGTTGAATGCCATTTCCCGACACTTTGATGCGCTTCAGATCTGTATCTGGCACCACCAATGCCTGGAACGGTGAGCCCGGAATGTGACAATCATTGAAGGTAATGTTGATACCATAGTCTCCGGGCTCCGTGGGCAGGTATGCAACAGAACATGTCCCATCCCCATTGTCTCTGCAGTTTATGGCAGCTTCACACGGTCCTTCCACCGTAACACCAAGACCACCTTGTCCTGCACCTCTTGTATCAATGCGAAATTCTGCAGGTTTACCCACAATACCACGGGCTAACCCTGGTCCTGAAGCACACACTTTGCCAGGCTCACTGCCAGTTGTACATGAAAGACGATAAGGAGTCGGGGATACTGGTTCTCCACCGAATGATATACTGAGAAGGTATTCACCAAGTTCTGTTGGTGTGAAGTTCACCAGAAATCCTTCACATGTTGGTATTACATGTGCCTTCACTCGACTTCCTGAAGGACTAGTTATAGCAACTGCAAAGTCTGCCTTACCAGCACCTTGTGTGATCACTCGGAATTGCTGCAAACTGTTGACGGGGGCCGCTATGCAAAACAAGCCACGTTACTAATGTGGCTGCAACAATTAGCAAAGCAACCCACTGACTAGCAGTGGGCCTCTTCTCATTCTGTATTATGTACTGAACTGGACTAACTACACTGAGAAATGGCTTCTCAAAAAGTGAAACTTACAGTTATATAATTTGAAGTGTTTTCCCTGGTCTAAACTGTCTTCATTAGTCATAAGTTCTGCCAGTCTGTGTAAAAAGTAAAGTAACAGGCTGTGGAGGCCCATAGGATTGTGAGATGTTGAGGTTCCCACATTTTCTAGACAATCAGCTCATAGATGCTGGCAAGGTTGTCAGCCTTACATGTCGGCTGCCCTTTACCCCGAAGAATATTCTAAGAATAGTCCTGGTACTCATTTCTGTTAGAGGCTGAGTCAACCCCAGGGCCACAGTGCGGCTGGAAAGATTAGGTCCATTGAAAAAATCCAATAATCTCATTGGGACTTGAGCCCGAGACCTTCCAGCTTGTAGCATAGTGCCTCAACCAACTACGGTACCGCATGCCCCTTGCCAGTCTGTGTATCTTAATAAAAGTCACAATTTTATGTTCAAAATTCTAGGACCCATACTGTGAATCTAAGTTACGACTTCATTACAGGACTCTTATCTATAACTCTGCTCTGTACACCTTACAAACTTCTCACTACCAAATATAAAAAAAACAACTTAAAAGTTGTAATTTACAGCTGCAAAAACCATCATGACACTTTTTTTCCTGGACTGTTCATTTATAGACATTACACAAACAATTTGTTTCTAAACTTGAACAGGTCCAAACATCTTAACAACGCAATAGTGAATGGTACAGGTTTAGAAAATTAAATGTTACAAGAAGTGGTGGAACAGGAATGTAACATTTAATATGGAATTTAACTGAAAGGGACAAAAAGAAAATCTACAATTGAAAAGTACCTTATTAGAATTCATCCTACAGATATTCCACAGTACAGGAAGATAATGGCGTTAAAAATGAAACCATAGACAAGATTTCCATCAATAACAATAAACAGAACATCAAAGTCTAATTAACACTATAGTAAACTTCCAGTTATCTGAGAAGCAAGCATCTGGACTTTTCATACAACTGGCAATGAATTCAAAGAAAATTTATCATCTTTATGAAGCTGTTCAAAAACAAATTTGCAATACTCATATACTCAACCTCCACACAGCAGTTCTCCCAGCCACCACCACCAGCAGTGTTACCCTTCACCCTTTTTCATTCGGCTGCCATTAGGGTACAGGCTAGCTAAATTTGTGGGCAACATATTTTACCCATCAATCTGCTGTGTTGCCTAGGAAGACCCCACAGGAGAATTAAAGCAAAAATATGTTGTTCTGACTTTGGATTGCATTTCTGTAGGAATGTTGCTCATTTAACTGGAAGGTGCATGTAATCAGCAGAACCCATTCCCCATTCTGCGCATAACGGGGAGTTTACTCTATATTACAGATTTAATGGTGTCAATATATGTGTCACATGTGTATATGCATGCTGGGCTAAACATCATCCTACAACCCAACTACTTTCAATGAAGATTCACATAATTCTGTATCATATTTTCTCGAATACCTTGTGCACATTTTTCAGAAACAAATTTGTGCCAAAATGTGGTGTGTGCAGCCTATTTGCTTCAAGGTTAACAGTGCTACTCATCTGTCATAATCAGCGCTCTGGCACAGCCCAGAGAGCGGTATCTCACTCCTCTGTCAGCTTTTCTACTAGCTCACATCATCTGCTATTAGTATGGGTGCAGTTCATCTCAGTTTATTCAGGAGTGAAAATTAGTTTAACTTGTTATTTGTTTGACAAGAAAAATGAGCACAAAGGGTATGTAACTACGGTCCTTCATGGTAAGTGAAATATTAAAGATAAAGGATAAAGGATGTGTGAGAACATATTTCACCCATATACAGAGAAAAACGTTTAAACAAGTGCAGTATCACAAATAGCCTTGACAGATCGGAAGATGATTTCATTCAGTACAGTGATGATGATTGCAGCCCTGCTGATGACGATGACAATGATAAATGCAACTGGAATAAAATTCTGTAGGTGAATAATCTTTGTTTCCAATTAGCAAGTTTTATATGATGAAGTCACAACAGAAGTACCACAACAGACACTAATACTGTGTCATTTTCATGCTGCAGGACAATAGGTCTTGGGAACTGCAAATGTAGTAGCACCAGGAATAACACAGAAGTGTTCTTTTATATGAAATAATGTTTATTAATGTCTGATGTTTAGTTAATGTTTAATACTTGAACATTTTTTTTTTCACCTTAAAAACTGGGGTGGACAACTTATTCAAGGGTGTGGGGTATTCAACAAAATATGGTCATTTATGAGTGGTTATTTATTGGCTTTTGAATTGTGTTACCATGTCAGCTTTGCCTGGAGAATGGGTTGAAGAACTTGTCAGTCTAGTACCTTGTTGCACCATACACATTAAAACCCCTGTCACAAGTCAATACTTTCTTAGCCCACTGCAGATTTTCTCTGCCTCTCATCAATAAGGAAGAGTACTTCTAGATATAAGCAAATTTACCAGACTGAACCTACAAAGTTACTTTCAAACCTATACATAATAATATTCTACTTCAATATGTACTGCAAAATGACTGGACCCATTATCATACAGCAACATTATAAATGCTTTTACTGAATATCTCTTGTATGCCCTGCTTGATAACAGTGTGATTATAAAGTGATTGTCAGACTAAAGGTGGAAGAGACTCTTGATTAAAAAAAAAACTAGAGTAAAACTGGAACCTCAATATAAAGTGCACATTTTGTGGAGAAATGTAACAAAACAGTTTGCTAAATAGAACTACAATTATACTTGGAGAACTTTGATAGGACAGACAAGTAACTTTCTTGACACCTATTTAACACTTTCTAACATAACAAAACAAGTAAAATCAATGACAGAAGTGAATGCTTCTCATGTTAGTGCAGCTACAGAATTGAATGTATCTTGCACAAACTACATGTGGAAAAGGCTAAGACCACATCATGGCTATGTGTTAAGTCATAGGAACCGAAACACTGACAAAATGTTCAGGTTGATCAAAATATCCTCTGCACTACCCAGATAGTAAGGAGGACGTGATGGATTCAGAAGAATCTTCCTCATGTAATGAGCTGTGAAGAAAAGTAATAATATACTAGAAGTTCAACCACATACTGTATTGGTCTACTAATTTACATGGCTCCACTTCAAGCACTAAAATTGAGTCAGTGCTTTCAGGGACACATTGCTGTATGCTTTACTGTTAGATAAATGAAGACACTTCAATGATATGAAGGTACCTGTACATCAGTATCTCAGTACCTGCATCTCAATGCTGAAGAGAGAATGCTCATCAGTTCAAAGTAAGACCAGTCATGTATATACCAACAAATTCCCCAAAGAAATATATCATCCCAACTGTGACTTCATAGCAGACAAAGCTATAATTGGTTTAATCGAGCACTTCAGTTAGAAAGAAAAGAACACCATGAAAGCCAACTGGGGAGACAGAAAGGCATGGAAAATAGCTAATATCAATAACTGGTACCTGCTAAAGAATAACTTCATCTAGGGAAAATGGAGAACTGAAATATATTTATTGAAAAAGAAAGTAGTTCTTGATATATGCGAGGACACCACTGAAAAATACCATCACTTATATTTCAACAGTTTCTTCTAATAATCGATGAGGAGGCTTTTGGAGAAAATAACCGTATACCCTTGGGTTAGCCCAAGCCAGAATAAAAGATTGGCCACAATACTGTAAGGACCTCAAATTTCTAAAACTGAAGGGAGGTGACTGCAGGTAATTGCAATGTAAGCATGTTACCTGTATAATGCTTGTGATGTACTAATTTTGTTCTGAAATTGTCATGGTGCCAAGAAAAGCAGGAGAAGCAAGGAAGAATTGACATTTTTTTTATCCCTTGGCACTACAGCCCCAGTGGGCCTAGGCCTACCTCCATAAACTTCTCCAAGAATTGACATTACATGCCTGAAAACTGATGTAAACTGTACAAGCAACTACAGGAGATACTGCCTTGGCAGACTGAAAGGACAAAATAGATTGAACTGGGTTGCCATATATGGTGAAAATATATTCTCTATTTTATTATTAATGTAGCTGGACAAAGGTTTCCTGTATTTCCTAAACACGCCATTTAAAATCTAAATATCCAGCAAAATACTGGGATGACAGCACTGTTTAAAACAGTATGGGTAAGGGGTCAAAGTACAAAGAAATGTGTCTTAAATTATTTGTAAAGTGCATCTGATGTAAATGGGACACCTTTCACAATCAATGTTAAACTTTTTGAAGTTACTGAATAGAAAGAAAGAGAAAAAAAAAGATCAGTACTACATATCACATCCACAGGTACATATAATTAGACATAGATGAATCCAACACTAACAAAATTAATACCAAAAAAGTGGTATGATTCTAAAAAATATATGTAGTGTGTTAATTTTATATTCCATTCTCTCTGATCAATTGTGGCTTAAATTTTACTGTCTTAACTGCAAAGACAACATGTGTAAAACGAGGAGGAGGAGATGATGATGATGATATGTAACAGTGTGTGCATGAATACGTGAAGATGGCTTAAATGCTAGGTGATAATCTATGGGGGCCAATGAACTCCTCCACCCCTTATCCCTTTAGTATTTGTCAGGAGAAAAGATAGGTTAGTAATTTCACAGCTAATTATGCATATAAATTTCAAACATGACAGTTCATTTATGAGGGTTAGTCAATAAGTAAGTTACAAATGGATATAGAACTTAAACAAATAAGAGTCATGATTTGAAAAATACTGTCGCGTATCAGGCGTATATCGCGACAAATAACTTCTCGATGTATTTGATGTAGCGAATTTTATTTCACATTCACACTTACAATCACCCAAATTACAGATTTACGATTACTGCTATCTGCAGTATCACAATTAGTACACTCCAA